TAAAAAAAAGAAAGGAAGGAAGGAAGGAAGGAAGGAAGGAAAAGAAGGAAGAAAGGAAGGAAGAGAGAGAGAAAGAGAGAGAGAGAGAAAAAGAAAGAAAGAAAGAAAGAGAGAGAGAGAGAGAGAGAGAGAGAGAGAGAAAGAAAGAAAGAAAGAAAGAAAGAAAGAAAGAAAGAAAGAAAGAAAGAAAGAAAGAAAGAAAGAAAGAAAGAGAAAAGCACAGATGCTACATGTCCTCTGGATCAGAAGCAGCTAATCTATTCCCAGCAACTGCTACTGAAATTGTCCATGGACATGGCTGGAGAGGTGGCTCAGTGATTTAAGGGGTTTGCTGCTCTTGCTGAGGACCTGTGTTCGGTTCCCAGCACCCAAGCTGGATGTTAACTCCAGCTCTAGGAGATCCAGTGCTCTCTTCTGGTCTCTATGGGCACTCGTACACATGTGGCATACACTCCCACATACACATACATTTGAAAGAGAAGAAATTGTCTATGGCTTCTTCTGTACACAGCCTCCCCCCCCCCTTTTTTATAAAACATCTTTTTATTAGGTCACAAATCAGAAGAACACAATTTAAATATTTGTGAATTAGCTTGATAAGGGATGCAATATATTTAGATTATGACTGTTATGAATTCATTCAGTCATTCCTCAGATCTTACCCTAATACATAACATTGTTTCTTAATTAAACGTAGCTGAAATCTGCTGAATATGGTGGCTCACACATGTAATCCCAGAATCTGAAAGGCTGCGACAGGAGGCTTGCTGTAAATTCAAAGTCAGGCCAGTCTATGGGGAGAGGTATAAGTCAGCCTGGGCTAGAGCACTCAAGAGGCACAGGAAGTGAACTGTGACACTGGAGTAGCTTGAGCATAGGAAAACTCAAAGCCCACCCTGACAGTGACACACTTTCTCCAACAAGGCCACACCTAATGCAACAAGGCCACACCTCCGAACAGTGCTACTCCCTATGGGAGCCATTTTTCCTTCAAACCACCACAACTATCACAGTCACATTTACAAACATGAAACTGCTTTTTTATAACAGGGTCCCAGCCCTTAGTGTGCCTGTAGACCTTAGCACAACTGTCTCCATGATGGAAGTGCCATTCAGGCTGTAAAACTCAGCATGTAAACAGCACCACCTGCCAAAACTAAAATAAAGGATTTATTCTAAAGACCATATAGTTCTGGGAAAGTCTCAAAATGTACTAACCTTGCTTTTTAGCTTCTGTAGTTCTGCTTCTGGCTAACTGTTCTTGTATGTCAACCCAGAACATAAATTTTGTGTTTAAACACTCATCCTGAGAAAGGCTCAGGGCTACACTGGGATACCAGCTGGCAAATAAAGACTTTTTATTGGCTTAAATCCATGTCCAGCAGTCTTCTCCGGTGGATACCCCACAACGCTTTTGTTTCCATGGGAGAGGAAAGTGGGAAGGAGAGGTACAGAGACCCACAGAGGACAGAACACCAGGCTCTTTGACAGTTTTGGTCACTCTCTCCACACAATTATTTTCTAAACAGGGCTATAGAGTAAAAGATTTTGCTAAATCTTGGGGCTGGAGAGATGGCTCCATTTGCTCTTGTAGAGGACCTAGGTTCAGGTCGCAGCAACCTCATGGTGATTCGAACTGTCTCTAACTCCAACTCCAGGGGATCTGATACCCTCTTCCACCTCCTTGAGCACTGCTCATACGTGGTGCACAGACATACACCCAGGCAAAACACTTAGATACATAAAATAAATAAATATTGTAAAAGTGTTTGAATTTTTAAAAGATGATGATAAATGTATATACCAAAGCAAGTCTGACTAAACATTTGCTTTTGAGTTCATAAATACTTCTAGTTCTAAAGTCTCCACATTTCCATAGGTTGGAGATGAACGTAACACAGACACATATAAGTTTCTTGTCCTGTATTGAATTTTGCTCAAGTCTAACATCATCTCCATTAATCCTTAATGAAACCATAGAGGTACTGTAATTTTAAAAATCTATCCACGTTTTAAAGAGAAAAAAACATAAAAAAAAGTAACTCCTCCAAAATACAGGGGGGAAACTCAGTCTTTTCTTGCCTTTTACTTTATTTGAAAAAGAATATTGCTCAAGAACTTAGCTTTAATAAATTGTGGGATTCCCTCCCTCCAGTTCCACTGACTATTTAACATCAGCTGTGTTCTGTCAACATTCAGAATGCAGAGTAACAAACTCTGGGGTTTGGAATATAAAATCACCCGTGTTTTTCCACGGAGATGCTGGGAGCAAGGTACAAGGAGAGGACACTTGGACCAATGCAACCACAGCCTTAAACATAAACCTCCTGCTGTTGTCTTACATGTTCATGGTGATTTGAAATGTATGCCCTTTTCTTTTTCTTTTTTGTATCAAAGTTCAAGTTACAATTTGGTCTTGAAGTATATTTCCCAATTTAAAGGAGACCGTATGGACAAAATCAGTGTGTTCAAAAAAAAAAAAAAAACCAGAGTGTAGTAATGTTCATCATTGTGTTGATACGATGCACTAAACCTCTAAACATGTAAAATTAAATTTTCCCTTGAGTATAGTTTGTTGTGTGCCACCTAGGAGGATGGGGTGAACAGAATCCTTCTGTGAACTGCTTTGCCAGTGAAAGACAAAAGACAAAAGAATGTCTTAGATCCTGTGTATGTGCGCGCTATATGAATGTATGCACACCTATGCATGCATATGTGAAGGCAAAAGTAACCTTATACATATATCCACATGCACAAGCACACACACACACGTACCCAGAACCTAAGATACGTCATGTGTCTTTAATTGCTTCCCACAGTTTTTGAACCATTTCCTTCACATCAGCTCCTGCCTCCATGTTCCTGCCCTGTTTGGATTCCTGCCATGATTTCCTTCAATGATGTATTATGATGTAAAAGTGTAAGCCAGATTACCCCCCCCCACCCGTCTTAGTTAGGGTTTTTATTTCTGTGATAAAACACCATGACCAAAAGACAAGTTGGGGATGAAAGTATTTATTTAGCTTACAGGTGCATATTGCTGTTCAACATCAAAGGAAATCAGAACAGGGACTTTAACAGGGCAGGAATCTGGAGGCAGAAGCTGATGCAGAGGCCATGGAAGAGTGCTGTGTTGTCAGATATTTATTTGGGCCGCCAGCTCACAAATAACAGCATGGAGACTTATTATTTATTATAAAAGCTCTGCCTTAGCTTAGGCTTGTTCCTAATTAGTTCTTATAACTTAAATTAACCCATATTTTAAAATCTATACTCTTTTTACAAGTCTTGTTACCTCATTTCCGTACTGCTCATCCTGTTTCCTTGCCTTTTTCTTCCCAGAGTCCTCTCTGTCCCCAGAAGTCCCACCTAACCTCTTCTTGCCTAGCTATTGGTCATTCAGCTCTTTATTAAACCAATCAGAAGACTCCTTGATAAAGACACATCTTCACAGTGTAAACAAATATTCCACATTTCCCCCTTTTTGTCTAAATAAAAAGGAAAGGGTTTAACTCTAACACAGTAAAACTATATACAATAAGAACATTTATCCGTTAAGAATTACATTTACAGGCTGGAGAGATGGCTCAGTGGTTAAGAATTACATTTAAAATGTCCAGTCCATTTGTATTTGGCAATTTTGGAGGAAATACTCTATTATCTATCCTATCTTAATGAATCCAAAGTTTTATACCTAAACTTTCTATCATAACTTGTATTATCATGCTAAAAATAACTTATTAGACCTTGAAACATCTTTGATAAACAACTTAAGCTTTTATGTTTCTTAATCTTATAAACTTTACATATCTTATATAAGTTTCTGTTTTGAATTCGGTAATAAAGAAAACTGCAAAACTATAATTATCTAGTCTTCAACCCAATTAAAGACCCAAGAAGGATATAATATTACCTGAGTAAAGGGAAAGTGTAGAGCAAACAACTTCCAAAACCATAGAAAGAACAAAGCTGGCTGCTTGGACAGTCACCCCAAGGTTCCTCTGTAATGTTGGGGCATCCATTTTTCAACCTATATAGCATATCTGACAGAAATTTTTGTGAAGCAGGGGGTGCCTCTCTAGCCTGCATTTGGAAATAAAGATACATTTGTCTGAACACAGCTGGGCGGTACAGGGCAAATCCACAAAGAGTTCATGAATATGGATAAGCTTCTACTCATAAACTAAATCTAAAAGTAAGTAAAATTAAAACAAAACTTGCCTCATCTATGACACATGGATTCTTGCTAGTTTCCACCTCTGAAGTTTGCCTTTTCCTACCCATAAATATTAAGAATCCACCATCCCCAGGGATTATAACCTCCTGTTGACCAAGTGAAATAATGTTGAAATTACTTGAGAGAACAAAGAACAAATTGTTCCAAAGCCCAGTGAAGTGCTTCAAAAGTTCTATTCAGGGACTGGAGAGACGGCTCAGAGGTTAAGAGCACTGGCTGTTCTTGCAGAGGTCCTGAGTTCAATTCCCAGCAACCACATGGTGGCTCACAGCCATCTGTAATGAGATCTGACACCCTCTCCTGGCCTGCAGGCAGAACACCATATACTTAATAAATAAATCTTTAAAAAAGCTCTATTTGTGGGGTTTTTAATTTTTTTAATTTTATGTGCACGT